CCCCAAAAAAAAAAAAAACCCCAAAAAAAAAAAAAAAAAAAAGAAAGAAAAGAAAAATACAAATCACAACCACAGTAAGATATCACTTTAATTTTTTTATTTTATTGAAAATAAAAAATGCTGGGAAATACATTTTACATGCTGTAATGAAATACAGTGATTGAATGTATAATAAAATAAAATATATTTAAAAACAGTAACAAGTTAAGAGGGTGTGAAGAATTGGAACCTCTGTGCATTGCTGGTAGAAATGTAAAAATTTCATGGCCACTGTGAAAAACAGTATGGCATTTCTCAAAAACAAAAAGTAAAAAGAATCTACACCTGAACAAGCAATTCTACTTTAAGTATATACCTAAGAGGACTGAACATAGAGACTCAGATATTTGTATACCAATGTTCTAGCATATTATTTATTATGGTCAAAAGGTTGGGAACCAGTAGTTAGCGTAATGGTTATGTCGCTGGACTCCCACGTAGTTGACCGCGGTTCGTGTCCCAGACCCGGTGGCTTAAAACTCACGCCAGGAGCGTGTGCGTGCGTGCCCAAGATCCCAAGAGGAGAATGGAGGAGAAGGGATTGCAGCCCTGGAAAGTGATTTCTCGCTTTCTGTCTCTATGTCTCTTTCTGTCTGTCTGGCGAGCGCACGCACCCTATAGAGAAAAACCTCTCCAAAAAAAAAAACGTAAAATGGTGGAAACAAGCCAAGTGTCCATCAACAGATGAATGAATAAATAAAATGTAATACATAAATACAATGGAATATTATTTGGTCCTGAAAAGGAAGCAAATCTTGACACATGCTACAAGGTGGATGAACCTTGAAGACAATAAAGGAAGTAAAATAAACAAGACATAAAAGGACAAATCATCTATAACCCCAAAATCCCAATAGGATGGATAATCGGAAGAAAGAGGATTGCCGTGTGACTACAACCCCAAGGTGGGGGGGGGTCCTCTCTCGTTTTCTTTGTCAGCACACACACTTAATGGCAATTTTAAAAAGTCTTTTATGCGATGCTAAGGACCTGGAACATGGACTCAAAGACTAGTTGGCAACAGGAAAAGATATTGAAAAAGGGTAGGGATGGGTAAAAGAGAATTGCCTGTATCTCAAAACAGTGGTGGCAGTAAGGCCCTAGAATAGAGTTCTGCACAAAACATACTTATTGAATACTGGTAGAAATAAAACATAAGCAGCAGAAATTTTGCCTGGTCTTAAATACACCACCACCACCAGTTTACAGGAGAGAAAGTCAAGAACGGTTTCTCAGGCCAATGCTGCAAGGCATTCATCCAATCTCTAAAGTATGAGTCAGAGCTAGATAGCTCTGCACTCCCCTATGGACCCAGAGAAAGAGTGATTCCCACAGAGAAAGATTGTGTCCCAGGGGAAAGCCAGCGTTCCCTGCCCACACCTCCATGCCCAAACCACACTAGGCCTACTCAATTTCCCTTCAAAAAAAAAAGCGTGAGGCCAGTGGAGCATCACAAAGTTAAGCATCAAACTTTCACTCCACAGTCACCAAGAAGCTGACTTAGTGCAAATTCTAAATTCTCTGCGTCAGACTCCTCTGGCAGAGGATGAGATGACCACAGTCACCTCTTCCATATGGACACGAGGTACCATAACCACTGCCTAAGCAAAATGCCGGGCAGAAGAGGGTGCCCCAGTGTTGTCGCCCGTGGATACAGACACATTGCACTGTGCTGAGAGTCTCCCTCTATAACTGTATCCACACCTCTCTAACAAGGATGCCCCTCTCCAGGACCTGACACTTCGCACACTGCATGGAGGCCCCTGGTAAAGCCCGGTCCCTCGTAGCCCACAGCTGCCTCGCCCACAGCTGCCTAGGCCTCTACGGTCAGAGGCATGAGGTGAGACCGAGAGAGACTCAGAACTGCCTCTGAGGCCGGAAGGCTCAGCCAAGCTAAGCCAAGTTTGCCAGGTTCCGTTTTCTCCCGAGAGCATCCAGAATCCAAATTTGAGGGAGCTGCGCAGCTTTTAGACGCTAGCATCTCTACCGAAAAACAGAAAAAAATACTGAGTCGCTGCTGACGGCTGTATCTGGCCCTCCGGCGGCCAGCTTCAGACCGTGTCTACAACAGCCCTACTTACGAAGGAGGAGAAGGACGGGAGGAGGATCCTAAGGACATTGCACCCAAACACGAAGCTTAGCACCAGCAGCCACGCCCAGCGGTCGGCCTCCGCCGCGCTCATCCCGGTTGCTCCGGCAGCGCCCTCACAACCACCGCAACGCCATCGGGACCACGCAGACTGTCGCGCGCGCAAGCGCAGTGAAGCCAGCGGGCCTCGAGGCGCGCCGATGCGCTTGCGCACTGCACTGCGGAGGCGGAGGCGGGCTGGAGCCGAATTTTCAACCCCGTGGGATCTAGGTTCAGCCTGTTCCTTGAGCTTCCGGGCTTCCGTAGCCATCTCGCACTCACAGCTGCACTGCGTCTACGCCAGTTTTCCAAACTGCTTTTCAACCTTTTCCCTCTGTAGTTAGGTCGCGTTGGCAAACCATTTGTGTTTTACTTAATGTTTTCTATACATTCTCTCACTTTTATTCCTAAATAAGCATATTTTTAAGTAAGCCTTGCCATAAATAGCTACTGCAGTTATAGTAGCGAACTTAGAAAAGAAATGTTTTGGGGACCAGCGGGTAGTGTAATGGTTACAGCGCTGGACTCCCACGAAGTTGACCGGTTCAAGTCCCAGCCCTTCTGGATTAAAAACATCACACAGGGCGAGACAAGCAGTTAGTGTAATGGCTATGTCGCTGGACTCCCATGTAGTCGACTGCAGTTCGAGTCCCAGACCCAGTGGCTTAAACTCATGTGTGCTTGCATGCCCAGGATCCCAAGAGGAGAATGGAGGAGAAGGGATTGCAGCATGGCCATACCCTGGGTGTTGATTTCTCGCTTTCTGTCTGTCTCTGTCTTTTTGGCGAGCACACATGCCCTACAGTAAAAACCTCTCTCAAACAGCCCGTCAATAAAAACCCCCTCCAAAAAAAAAAAAAAAAAAAAACACAGGGCGTGTGTACACACATGCCCAAAATCCAGAGATGAGAATGGAGGAGAAGGGATTGCAGCCTTGGTCATCTCCCCTGCAGGGTGATTTCTCCCTTTGTGTCTCTCTCTCTCCCCCAAGGAGAGCACAGGTACCCTATTAGCAAAAGTCTCTCTTAAAAAAAAAAAAAGTTTTCTAAGCAGATTTATATTTAAATGTCTTAAGTGTACATGCTAAAACTAACCTAATAAATCTAAACAATGTACAAAGTGTGTAGCTGAAAAAAATAAGTTTATTATTCAGAAGGCACTCTACAATCACCCAGTAATAAAATAACCCAAACTTAGATAAAGATTTGTTTTTACAACAAAAATAATCCCATCTCACATTTGTTAGGTTAGAAAAAGGACTCAGGTTGCAACTGTCTCACACAAGAAGTTTTTACTCAGGCCAGCAGTCAGTGGGGTCTTAAGTCTGAAGTCAGAGAAACTTCAGCCCAGCCTACTAAGAAGGCGTGAATTGTTATATCAACCTTGAACTGTAGGGAATTTCCTGTCAGAAAATAAGGATATGGTTACAATGGCCTTTGGCAAGAGCCCTATGTTACTGGAAAGCAAAACCACAAAAATATTTTTGCCACAGACAGGCCAATAAGGTCACAATGACAAGTAATCTAATCAAAGTGCCTGCCATTCTTGTGACCATCTTAGTTCATGAACTGAAGTTTTTCTAACTTCAGGCCCTGCAGTCTGCAGCCCTGAATAAAACTTTCTCTGGTGAGACTCCCTCCCTGAGTCCTTTGTTGAACCTAACACTTGTTTATAGTGGATTAAACCAAAAAATGTTTTGCTGTCTCTTCTTCCACAGTTGGAGAACTAATTCCTAATCAAAACCACACAAGGAACTGAAGTTCTACAAGTTTCTGCTGTAGAAACATGTGACTTCACATGTGAATACTAAAACAAGAAAACATGTGAAGTGAAGCTATTCCATTGTGGTAGCATGAAGGGCACCCACTTCCATGAAAGGGTGTGTTGACTCATAAGTGACTGTTTAACTGAAATAAATGAAACAGAGTTGGAGCCAGCCACTCCTCCATAGCCTTCCTCTTCAGCTGAACTCCCAAAACCACAACCAGGCTCCTGGTTATAGATCTGGAAGGAAAAACTGCATGCTGAAAAGGGATAGCAGCCCCTTTGGCCTTCAGTCACTGCCTTTCTCGCTGAAGAGCATTTTAGCTGTTCTTCACCCCAGTCCACCACCACACATCTGCCAGAGGATCACCCAATTCCCAGTGAGGTGAGAATCTGACACAAAACACTGAAAATGCCCTAGACGTGTGTCCTAGATAAGGTCATCAGAGGCAACCCAGCTGAGAAATTTGGTCTTTCTGCTAACTCTGAAAAAACACTGTACTAATTGAAGCCTGAATTATTCTACTAACAGGTATCAATAGAAAGAAAATATGAAAGCCAGGATGTTTCAGTACAAATTAGTCTAACTCTAGAACAGGTTAAAGTGGTAAATAAACTTCACAAAACTGTTAGTTTCTTTCTTTTTTCTTTTTTTTGTAAAATATTTTTGCTATAGGGCACATGCACTCTCCAGAGCGACAGACAGAATGCAATCTCCAGAGAGACAGACAGAAAGTGAGAAATCACACCCCAGGGGTAATGGCCACACCACAATCATTTCTCCATTCTCCTCTAGAGACCTTGGGCACGCACACACGCACATGTATCCCATGTGAGTTTAAAGCTACTGGGTCCAGGACTCAAACCACAGTCTACTACATGGGAGTCCAACGACATAACAATTACGCTATCTGCTGGTCCCAAGGCTGTTAGTTTCTTAACACTGCTATAACGAATTACTGTGAACTTGATTGTTTAAAATAATGAAAGTTTATTATTTCACAGTTCCAGAAGTCAGATTCCTAAAATAGTCTTGTTAATGTGGAGATGAATGTCTCTTTTCTTGTCTTCGTGGAAGAAAGGATTCCAAGAGAGAGCCGCATAGTTGAACAAAGTAAAAGGAAAAGGATCATTAGAAAAGTCATGATACATTTTTGCCTAGAAAAATATGGCATGGCTTTTCCAATGGACCAAATACAAAGCAAAAAAAAACGAAAGTACGTATGTCCTCAATATATACCAAGTGTCCACACTCTATGACTGAAACTGATCCACTAAAGGATATAGAAACACAGTAAATGGATGTATGTGGGAGGCTGCGCACCAGCAAATATCACCAGTTTCTCAGAGAACAAACAATTACACGATGCCAAAAGCCATGATTGGCTTCCCTTCAAAGCCTCACCTTCAAAACCATACTCTGATTGGCCACTAGAATCCCTCAGATTTGCATATCTGGCACCTCATGATTGGTCCACAAAGCAACCAAGCATAACCCACCTTTTACAACCAACCATAACCCACCTTTTACAACCAATCACAGCCCACCAACATGTATATTACCACAATCCCTGGCCCACAATCCCCAGACGACCCTGAAGTCCCTGAAGAGTTGTAACACCGCATCGTCTCTAGACAACTCTGAAGAGTTGTAACACCGTGTCTTCTCCGTGCTGCCCACAATAAATGGATGACCCTGAAGAGTTGTAACACTGTGTTGTCTCCGACGTCCTGTCTCTCACTCCTTCCCTCAGGAAACCTGTTTGACTGTCCCCCGGGTCGGGACAGATGTAAATACCAGATATAGTGTGTGTGAAAGAGTAGGGTCTGAGAAAGGACATTTAGAAGAAAAATAGAGAGGCAAAGCATTAATGGGACAAAGAAATGTGGTATTATTTGTTGAAGATATTTTATAGCTTCATCAACTGGACTAGGGAGAAATGTTCACATGTTGAAATAGTCACTTTGTAAGCTAAATAATGTGATTAAATGTATAAAAGAAAATGAAATTAAAAAGTAAATAAAAACAATAATACAAGGACAGAATTTGATAAAAGTGCACAAATATGAAAGACTTAATGCTAAATGAAGCAAACCAGAGTATAAAAGGCAGTGTATGTCCCCACTCAATGAATACTGAATGTATGTGCTATATAGCAGAAACTGAAAGTTTGGAAGGTATAGTAGTAGGGAGGACAACTGTAGACACTAGACATAGTAAGGATAGGGGTAATATGAGGATGGGTAATGTAGGAAGGGAGGGGAACAGGAGAAGAAAAGCAATATGTTTATTTGACACAAAAATGAAAAGTTAACTTGCTGATGATAATGTATATGGTAATGTCTTTGTCTTGAATGGCATGCACCATATTAGTGCTGGAAAAAGCAATTGTTGCACTGTAAAGATACGAAGATATTTGATGTAAGTTTTTAAAAAATAAATAAATAAAAAAGAAAGCAAAAGTACACTCTTGAGAGGTAGCAGCAGGTTGGCTACAAAGGATACCAGGAGACCAGCAGTTAGTGTAATGGCTATGTCCCTGGACTTCCATGTAGTCGACCACGGTTCAAGTCCTGGACCTGGTGGCTTAAACTCATGCCGGGCGCATGTGCGTGCGTGCCCAAGATCCCGAGAGGAGAATGGAGAAGGGATTGCGGCGTGGCCATCCCCCCTGGGGGGTGATTTCTTGTTTTCTGTCTCTCTCTGTCTTTTTGGCGAGCGCACGTGCCCTATAGCAAAAAAAAAAAAAAAAAAGCCTCTCCAAAAAAATAAATAAAATACTAAAAAAAGGAAAGTGGATACCAGCATGGAGGTTTCTGCATTATGTGCTTTTATATCTCAGCTCCTCCCTCTTCCACTTCAGTAAGGCCTTGTTACATAATCCTACTGCCCTATCCCCATCAATGCAAATAATATGTTAATGAGCTAAAGGTTACTTGAGAGCACCCAAACTCATTACTGAGCATGCTCCAAGTTATATAAGCTCCTCTTGAGTAGTTGGATGTTCCTGAGGTGCTAAACTCCGAAAGTACTGTTTGGGGTGGTTCCTAATGGCCAGTGCTAGGGGATCTCTAGATCCTCCCTTGTCTGACTACCTACCTTAACAATGTCACTGGCTAAAAACAAAAGTGCTCAAAAGACTGCCTTCCTTCTGGAGGCTGCAGGGGAGCACCTTGCTTCTAGGGGCTGCTTCTTTTCCTCGCCATGTGACCTTGTCCTTCTTCAAACCCCATAGTAATACCTCTCTAACCTCAGCTTCCACTGACACATCTCTGACTCTACTGCTTCCCTCTTTGACCCTCTCAAGACCTTTTTAATTACACTGGATCCATGTGGGTACGACAGGATACTCTCATTTTAAAATATTTAATTC